GCTCCCCTCACGGGCTTGGCCCTGGGGATGCTGGGGAGGGGTGCATCGGTCTCTGGTCAGTCATGGGGTCTGTAGGCAGAGGCCAGGAGCTGGTTCCCCTGGCATCTGTGGTGGTCCAAAGCTCTCAGGAGCCTCCCCTTTGGGTCCCTGCGACAGGGTGAGGAGCAGATTTTAGGGGATCTGCCACAGGGAAGGTCTCTGCCTGACACCACCTCTGCTCTCCCATAGAGAAGGGCGACGTGCTGGTGGTGGAGCTGTGCCAGAGCCACGTCCGGACCCTGTGGGTGACCCTCTTGGGCGATGGGAACCAGAGCCCCCAAGTGATGTACAAGATCTTTGACATGCCAGGGGACATCGCGCAGGGCAAGGGGGAAGCGGTACGACAGGGCCATGGCAGAGGGTGGCGGCTCCCCAGCACCATGGAGGCTCAGCTGGGCTCCAGGCTGGTGCAGGGGCTCTGGGCTGCGTCCTGCAGCCTGGGTACGGGCTAAGGGGGAGCAGCCGGTCACCCCCAGCCATGCCTTTGCAGCTCTTTGACTTTATTGCACAATGTGTGCGCCAGTTCCTGGCTGGCATCAACAGCCCCCAGAATCGCCTCCCCTTGGGCTTTGTCTTCCCCTTCAGCTGCAGGCAGACGCGGGTGGACAAGGTGAGTGGGAGAGCGGTGTCCCAGGGCTGCGGTTGTGGCCAACTCCTCCCCGGCACATCCGCAGGGCCGGCCCGGTGCTGGAGTCCAACGGCTCGGCCATGTGCTCTCCGTAGGCAGAACTCATCTCCTGGTCCAAGGGCTTCAGTTGCAGTGATGTGGAGGGGAAGGATGTCGTGCAGTTGCTGCAGTCGGCCATCAACAAGCAGGAGGTGGGGGGCCATGGGGTGGAGGGGGGCCTGGCTGGAGGCTGCCCCCATGGAGGGTCTGACAATGCTCTCGCTTTGCTCCTGACCAGCTCTACCACGTAGATGTTGTTGCTCTGATGAATGACACTGTGGGCTCCATGATGGCCTGCAGCATGGAGGGGGAACCCTGTGAGGTCGCCTTGGTCATGGGTGAGCAGTGGGCACCCTGGGGGCCAGGGCGGTGGGT